TCCTGGTGATGTGCATTTTTATCTCCTTCCATTCCTGCCTGGGCAAGCGTGGCTGGGTACAGACAGGTCTGCCCTCTCCACGTGTGTTCCTCCTGGTAGAGGGGCAGACACTGCCGGGGTACAGTCACAGGAGGCTGGGGTGTCTCCAGCAGCTGGAAAAGGTTTGAGGCTCTTAGGCAGATGTTTGCTGTTTCAGCCACTTCATTAATGTTGGAAACAAAACCCCTGACTATTCCTGACCAAAGCCCCACTTCGTGATTGACAGCTGGGGTGTGCTGCTTCCCACGAAAGCCCTTTACAGTCTGAGATCAGGAGAGAGGGAGTGAAAAGAGAGAGATGAGTGCAAAATGGGAATTGGGGTGGATGCCGTTACTGAAAAACCAAAAATATAAAGGAAAGAGAGGTTCATTCAAGGAGAAAGACAAATGTAGTACAACTAGTGAAGATGTGAAGTCCCATCGTGTGCTCGGGTCTTACACACATTATATAATTATCCCAGCTTTCATGCATTAATTTATTCATGACATGTACTGAGAGCCTACTATGTGCCAGTGCTATGCTCGTATTGGTGATACAAGACGAATTGTCCAGTGGGTGAAAGAAATATGCAGAAGACAATAATATAGTAAAGGAACCTCTAAGATAGAGGTAGGAACAGCAAGGACAGCCTTGGGGAGTGTGGGATCTTTCCCAAAGGAGGTGACATTTGAGATGGGCCTTGAATTAGTTTTCCAGGCAGCGAAGGAGGGAGGGGATGGGGTGCCATGGGCATTCCCACTGAAGGCAAGAGCTGTGTAGTCATGGATTATGAAAGGCTAACCTTGTGAAGTAGGTATTATGATTATCATTTACAAATGAAAAAACTGAGGCTCAGCTTTGATTATAAGCGACAGAAAGCTGAAGGCTCCAGACTCCCAAGATCTGGAATCTCTCTTTCCAATACCTGGGGACTTGTGCTCTCAGACCCGCTATGAGATTTCTTGCCTCTGTGGTAGAAAATAGAAAAGATGGAAAATCCAATAAGCTATTATTTAATTTATTGGGTCTGAAGAGAGGGAAGGAAGAGAGGAAGAGAGGAGCGAGGAAAGAAAGGAAAAGAGAAAGAGATGGAAGATGCGGAGGAGGGCTGGGGGAATTCGATCCAGCAGAGGAGGCCGGGAGTGCTGGGAACAGTAGGGAAGGGGAAATGGATGGAAGCGGAGGAAAGGGGCCAGTGGCGGTGGAAGGAAGCGGAAGAGCCGGCGAGGCTAGAGGACGGGACAAGAGGTGGAGGAAAAGACTGGGCCCGAAGAGTAACGGGGCGCGCGCGTAACGTGAGGGCCCGACAGAGGGTCCGAAGGGCTAACGCTCGGTCCCTCTCCAGGGTCACCGGGTGCGGTGCAGAGGCTCAAGGGTCTCCCCTACGCCGCGCCCTCCAATCCCACCAAACCCGCAGTTTCTCGGCGCTGCCGACAGCTCTGCACTTTCCAGCGGGACATATAACTCCCCACCCAACAATGTCCTCGGTGCGAACGCCGCGCCCCTGGCAACGGTCCCCCGCTCGTGGCGCAGCGGGTCCTTGCTCCGCCGGTGTCCAGGAGGACCCCTGGGTCGCAGCGCCGAGAGGCGCTGCCCGGGCTGAGCTGGGAGCGTTCTCGGCCCCGCGCGGGGCAGCACACAGGCCTTGGGACCGGCCACCACAGCCGCGGACGCGCCGGGCCCAGCGCGGCGACCTCTGGGCTCTGCGGCGGGACGCGCGCCGCCACCGGGATACCTGGCCGCAGCTCTCGCGGGCCCTCATGCCGCCGCTCCGGCAGGAGAAGAATGAGCATAAGGAGATATCATGAGAATAAACGAAAACCGTTCTAAATGGAGAGGAGGAGGGGAGGGGAGCCAGGGCGCACGCAAACACCTCGGGAATGAAGTTCCTCAAAGGCGCGTTGCGGGCCACGTCTAATGCAAGGCTCGGATTCGGTTTATTACTATTTTCTCTCAGTGCCTAATTATTAGTTCTCCAGGCTTTCCCCTTCCCTCTGAATTGAACCACTGGCCCAGGCGCGCGCGTCCACTTGCTTCCGCGGCGACTCGGGCTGCAGGGCGAGCAGCTCTGCAACGAGCCCACCGTTACCCGGGGCCGCGAGATGTCACCATACCCAAACTCGGTCTCGGAGAAGGCCATCCGCGTCTGTAATTCTCAGTCTCCATACAGTGCGTTTCCCTTCCGGCCCCGTGCAAACTAACTCCCAGGCATTATTGCGCGAAACCGGCAGCACCGGCAGTTTCTGCCGAGCGCGGGCGAGGGGGCAGGACGCGGGCAGCGGGACGGTCCGGGTCCCCTCGCCGCTCGCCCAACAATTCCAACTGAAAACAAAAGTTCGTTCAGATACTGATTGGGACAGACTCGGAAGTTAGGCGCCCAGGAGGCAGAAGACAAACCACCTAATGAACGCGTGTGTTCGCGGCTCCCCCAACCCTACGCGTCGCCAGGGACCCGGGGGACGAAAGCCGTGGTGCCAGAGTATCCGGCACAAGGAGCCACGACCGGGCTGACTCGCCGCACCCGGCAGTCCCGCTGCGCTGGCCCTTCTGGAGACGAAAAAAAGGTTTATAAACAGAGCTCAAAAATAAAAAAGGAACACGTGCTTTTGATTACTTTTTTTTTTTTTTTAACAGTTTACTATGGGGATAACGGACAGGGCAAAGGTCATTGATGGTTTGGGATCTCCGTGGAACGGTCAAGTTCGCGATCGCGGCGGACACTCCGGGTGCCGGAACGCGCGGGCTGGGAGCCGGCTGCGAGCGTAGGGGACTCTAGGGGCGGGCGCCGTCCTTGGGAAACGGCGCGCGGCAGTCCACGTGGGGAGGCAGGAAGGCACCCGGCTCCTCGCGGGCGCCCGTTCTGGGGCCCGCAGTCTCGGGAGCCTCGGCGAAGTCTCGACTTCTTTCTACTAACAGACCAGGACGTGCCAGCCCGCCGGTGCCGGCGATGGGAGCGCGGCATACCCGGCGCGAGGGTGGCGCGCGTGGCTCCGCGTGGGCAGCGGCCCCCGGAGGCCTAGCCCGTTGGCGGGGGCGGCGCGCGCTCCCCGCACCGCGCGCACACACGGGCGCGCACACTGCACACACACACCTGGAGCTCGTCCCAGGAGGGGGGCGGGGAGGAGAGCCGGAGCGAGTGTCTTAAAATAGGCACGCAGACAAGCGCGAGACGCTGAGAGGCTGGAGAAGGCTATCAAGAGCGGCGGGCACGAGGCGCGCGGGTCCGCGCCGGGTGGCACAGGCGGGCTGGGCGGGGTGGGCGCCGAGCGGCCGGCCCTCCGCGCGGCTCAGCTCCAGGCCCTGCGGGAAGCGCGCGCTGATTGACAGCTGCACTGTCCCCAAAAGGCTCGGCTAAGATGCTGATCCGCGGGTGGGTCTAGACGCGCAGCCCGCGCGCCCGGTGCCGGCTCCCCTCCGCGCACCTCCCGAGCCCCGCCGCCTCCCGGCCGCCGAGGAGCCGGCCGGAGGCCCCCGCCGGCGCGCCAGCCCCGCGGCCTCGGGCGGCGGGCGCTCGCCCGGGCTCACCATGCACTGCCACGCAGAGCTGAGGCTGAGCTCGCCTGGCCAGCTCAAAGCAGCCAGGAGGCGCTACAAGACTTTCATGATCGACGAGATCCTCTCCAAGGAGACCTGCGACTACTTTGAGAAACTTTCCCTCTACTCCATGTGCCCGTCGCTGGTCGTGCGACCCAAGCCCCTGCATTCCTGTACCGGTAAGACGGCCCGCGGGAGCGCAGTGGGGTGTGGCCGCTTTCGTGCCGGGGTCGGACGCTTGACCACCTCTGTCCTCCCACCCAAGGGCGAGAGGAAGGGGCCCGGGTAATGTGGGCCCCTGCAAGAGGACTAGACTTGTCCGAGGCGAGCATTGCGGAGGCCTCTGCAACCTGGAAGGGGCCCGGCAAGGTGTCAATGGCAAGGTTAGAAAGGCAGTCAAGGCAGCGCGCCCTCGAGAGCCGGCCGCCTCGCAGCGCCTGGGATCTGCTGGCAGGAGAACCTTCCTCCTTCCCAGCGCTGCTGTGGTTTTCCGGAAGAAAGTTCAAACCCTTGACCTGGTTGAGCACTTAAATCATTGTCTCAGGAAGTTTTTTTTTTTTTTTAACAGTTTACTATGGGGATAACGGACAGGGCAAAGGTCATTGATGGTTTGGGATCTCCGTGGAACGGTCAAGTTCGCGATCGCGGCGGACACTCCGGGTGCCGGAACGCGCGGGCTGGGAGCCGGCTGCGAGCGTAGGGGACTCTAGGGGCGGGCGCCGTCCTTGGGAAACGGCGCGCGGCAGTCCACGTGGGGAGGCAGGAAGGCACCCGGCTCCTCGCGGGCGCCCGTTCTGGGGCCCGCAGTCTCGGGAGCCTCGGCGAAGTCTCGACTTCTTTCTACTAACAGACCAGGACGTGCCAGCCCGCCGGTGCCGGCGATGGGAGCGCGGCATACCCGGCGCGAGGGTGGCGCGCGTGGCTCCGCGTGGGCAGCGGCCCCCGGAGGCCTAGCCCGTTGGCGGGGGCGGCGCGCGCTCCCCGCACCGCGCGCACACACGGGCGCGCACACTGCACACACACACCTGGAGCTCGTCCCAGGAGGGGGGCGGGGAGGAGAGCCGGAGCGAGTGTCTTAAAATAGGCACGCAGACAAGCGCGAGACGCTGAGAGGCTGGAGAAGGCTATCAAGAGCGGCGGGCACGAGGCGCGCGGGTCCGCGCCGGGTGGCACAGGCGGGCTGGGCGGGGTGGGCGCCGAGCGGCCGGCCCTCCGCGCGGCTCAGCTCCAGGCCCTGCGGGAAGCGCGCGCTGATTGACAGCTGCACTGTCCCCAAAAGGCTCGGCTAAGATGCTGATCCGCGGGTGGGTCTAGACGCGCAGCCCGCGCGCCCGGTGCCGGCTCCCCTCCGCGCACCTCCCGAGCCCCGCCGCCTCCCGGCCGCCGAGGAGCCGGCCGGAGGCCCCCGCCGGCGCGCCAGCCCCGCGGCCTCGGGCGGCGGGCGCTCGCCCGGGCTCACCATGCACTGCCACGCAGAGCTGAGGCTGAGCTCGCCTGGCCAGCTCAAAGCAGCCAGGAGGCGCTACAAGACTTTCATGATCGACGAGATCCTCTCCAAGGAGACCTGCGACTACTTTGAGAAACTTTCCCTCTACTCCATGTGCCCGTCGCTGGTCGTGCGACCCAAGCCCCTGCATTCCTGTACCGGTAAGACGGCCCGCGGGAGCGCAGTGGGGTGTGGCCGCTTTCGTGCCGGGGTCGGACGCTTGACCACCTCTGTCCTCCCACCCAAGGGCGAGAGGAAGGGGCCCGGGTAATGTGGGCCCCTGCAAGAGGACTAGACTTGTCCGAGGCGAGCATTGCGGAGGCCTCTGCAACCTGGAAGGGGCCCGGCAAGGTGTCAATGGCAAGGTTAGAAAGGCAGTCAAGGCAGCGCGCCCTCGAGAGCCGGCCGCCTCGCAGCGCCTGGGATCTGCTGGCAGGAGAACCTTCCTCCTTCCCAGCGCTGCTGTGGTTTTCCGGAAGAAAGTTCAAACCCTTGACCTGGTTGAGCACTTAAATCATTGTCTCAGGAAGTGGCGTTGCTTCTCACCTTGAGTTAACTCGTCCAACTTCCTCCTGTCTCCACTGGGAATTTTACAAGTCAGTCAGTATCCTGAGGTTCCCCGCAAAATCCGCTGAACTTCACTTAAAAGGATCTCCCTCTGGGGAAGTCGTTATGGAATGTGTCGTGTTGTGGAGCCAGCTGAGGAGGTCAACCCTGTGAGTTTTAAGTGACTAAAAAACAATGATCACAATAAAACCACTCCTCAAATCTGGTTTGCTTTCTCCACAAGAACGAGTCGAGACCCACAGTAAAAATAAAGAACACTTAATAAATATACTTTAAAAGTCATAGGTTTATGTAGAAAATAAATCCAAAGTTATTTCTAAAAAACTTGCATTAAAAGAAGCTCCAAGTTTCATAGTGCCCTGGCATTATAAGGATTTAGGCTCTCCAGACGTGGGTATAGCAAAAAAAAAAAAAAAAAAAAAAAAAAAAAATAAAAAAATTTT